CTCCGACTCAAAAAAAAAAAAAAAATGGTAAAGCCCTGCCTATTTGCCTTACTGCAGATCAGAACAGCACCCCGAAGCAGGCTTAAATCCTATATGGAAGACCTTTCCAAATTTTCTCACCAGGAACCCCACCCCTAGACTTAATAACTGAATAAAAAAAAAAAAAATCAAACACTACATACAGCAATTAGGACAGATATTGCTAACCTTGCATTGGTTTGCTCTTTCCAGGTCCACGTATCCAACAGATAAATCCTTCTACCCTTTCCACCCAAGGAAATAAAGTGCTACTGAAATCCTGGAAGAGCCAAGGATCAGAGTGGTAGCTGGCTAAGAAGTGGACAGAATCTTTTTTTTTCTTTTAATTTTTCATTTTAAACATGTGGGGTACAATTCAGGGTTAGGTATACAAATGTTCATTATGCAGGTGCCCTTGTTGATGAGGTGTGCCCCTTCCCCTGGCAGCTTCCCACTACTGCCAGTCCCACCCCTGCCCTCCCCTGGCAGTTTCCCACTACTGCTAATCCCTTTCTTATAGTATTATAATAGTTGTTCAAGGTCCACTTATGAGTGAGAACATGTGATACTCGGTTCTTTGTTTCTGTGCTAGATCACTCAGTATTATAGCCTCTAAGTTCATCCAAGTTGCTATGAAGTTCATAATTTTGTTTTTCTTTATGGCTGCGTAATACTCTATCACGTATATGTACCACATTTCTTTTATTCAGTCCTCTTTTGATGGGTAGCATGGTAAGTTCCATGTTTTTGCTACTGTGAATAATGCTACAATAAACATGCGTGTGCAGGTATCTTTTTCTTTTCTTTTTTTTGAGTCTCGCTCCATCGCCCAGGTGGCATGCTCACGGCCACCCCAGCGTCAGCCTGCTGGGTTGTATGGTGCTCCATTATTCACAAGGGCTTAGGCGATCCTTCCACCTCAGCCTTCCAAGTAGCTGGAACTACAGGTGCGCGCTACCACACCTGGCTGTATCTTTCTCATAGAGTAACTTGAGCTCCTTCGGGTATATTCCCAGTAGGGGGATTACAGGATCGTATGGGAAGTTAATTTTCAGATCTTTTAGGAATCGTCACACTGTTTCCCACAGAGGCTGTACTAGTTTACACCCCTACCAACAATGTAGAAGTGTTAGTGGATAAGATCTTACGACGTGTGTCTGACCACCCATTCATCTGCTAAGTTGTCTGCAGCTAAGTCACAGATATGCCATACTCAGATGAAGATCGCCCCTCATCAGCCCAATATATTAGACAATCAACTTGAGTGGGCAGTTGGTATTTAAGAAAAACGATGCAAGCCGGGCTTGGTGGCTCAGCCTGTAATCCCGCGCCTTTGGGAGGCTGAGGTGAGTGGACTGCCTGAGCCTGCAGGTTCAAGACCCGCCTGGGCGAGACCTCATCTCTACAATAAATCAAAAATTAGCCGGGCGTGGTAGTGCGTGCCTGTAGTTCCAGCCACTTGGAAGGCTGAGGCGGAAGGATCGCCAGAGCCCAGCAGGTCGAGGCTGCGGTGGCCGGGAGTGGCCACTGCACTCCAGTCTGGGCGACCGAGTGAGACTCCAGCTCAAAAAAAAAAAAAAAAAGAAGAAAAGAAAAAAAGAAAAACGACACAGATAAGTTAAAAAAAAAAAAAAAAAGACTGCCTACAAAGTTCCTAATAGGTTACATACTCCTAAATGGGTTCCTTATTCCTATTAAAACTAACCTCTTTGCTGAATGGATACAGAGTGGTTTCCTTCTGAAATAAAACATTTCAGCTATAGAAAGTTCTCACAAGACCTCTTCATGGTTGGGTCGACTTCCTAGTACATGGAAAAACTTCATATATAGCATAATTAATGTTCTTCTTATTGCGTCCTTCTGTTGTCGTGAACTGTATTGCTGTTGTACTTGATGTATGTGAATGCTGGCTCGACTCTCCCAAAGATTTCTGACTCTTGGTTGTATGGTGCTCCATGAGCCCAGGAACGTGGGTGTGTTTTCAAATCCAGGTGGATAATTTCCATTCTACTGCCCCTAAATTCATCTTTTTTTTTTGACTTGGTGTCTCACTCTGTCACCCAGGCTGGAGTGCCATGGCACGCTCTCAGCCACCACAGCCTTGATCTTCTGGGCTCAGGTGACCCTTCTGCCTCAGCCCTCCAAGTAGATGGAACTATAGGCGCGCACCACCACACCCGGCTAGTTTTTGTCTTTATTGTAGAGATGAGGTCTCACCAAGTTGCCCAGGCTGGTCTCAAACACCTGGACTCAGGCAGTCCTCTCACCTTTGCCTCCCAAAGTGCTGGGATTATAGGTGTGAGCCATGGCACCTGGCTAATATAGCCCCTTTCAACAGGAAGTGGCTAGACTGAGTATGTCACCCACTTTCCATAGAAATGTAATGGAACTTGGCCCAGCCCAGTGGTTTACACCTGTAATCCCAGCACTTTGGGAGGCTGAGGTGGAAGGATTGCTTGAGCCCAGGAGTTCGGGATCAGACTGGGCAACAAAGTGAGTTTCCGCCTCTATAAAAAATAAAATAACAATTAGCCAAGTGTGGTAGTGCATACCTGTAGTCCCCACTACTTTGAAGGCAAAGGTAGGAGGAACACTTGAACCCAGAAGTTTGAGGTTGCTGTGAGCAGTGATCATGCCACCACACCTGGGTGACAGAGTGAAACCATGTCTCCAACCCCCTCAAAAAAAAGAAGAAAAAAGAAATGGAATGGAATGTAACAGCGGGGAGTTGTAACTGAGAATACATTCTGAACACTCTTCTTTAGCTTTCAAATTGTACTTTAAATATCTTTCTCGTCCCTCTTCCTTCTAGACACTCCTTTGCACTGTGGTGCTTATCTAACTATCCGCTTTCTTAGAAATTCCAGGGGATAATCTTGAAGGAAAGGAGGCCTCCAAGAATTCTGGAGGCTCATCTTAGAACAAACTAGGCATGGGACTCCACTGTGGCACCCTCCCACCTGAGGGGAGTCACAAAGGCTCAATCACCACCAGGCCACAGTCAAGATGGTGCCAGCCAAGCCCCGGGAAGGATGATTACTCAAGATGACCACTAGGGAAAGGACAGGACACCGTATACCCTATCCAACCCGGTACATTTCCCCCCTTACCAAGCTTCCCTTTAAAGCCCTCTCTGATAGGCCCGAGAATTTTAAGTAATTGAGACATTAGTCTGCCATCTCCTCCAGAAGCTGTCTTCTTGAATAAACGTGTTTTTCCTTTCACCAACTCCCCTCTTTTGGGATTGGCTTTGAACAAGGAGAACCTGGACCTGGGTGCAATTACCCTCTTTATCTGTCTTGTCAAAGGCAACCCCCAAATCCCGGCCTTAAAGTGACCCACTACCCTGATCCCAACAGTCCACCTACCCTACCCCTACCCAGACTGCCTCACTAAACTTGGCCACTGACACTACCTACAGAGGGACCCTGACAGCCTTCCTAAATAACACGGGCCATGAACTAACTACTGCCAACTTCTACCCACTATTATCCCCAAGCCCTGCCACAGTCTAGAAAAACCCCAATGCTGGCGACACTCCAGCCCCTCACTCTGGTTTAGGGCCGACCCCTGATTTCGGTCACAAAGAGACCCCATGACCTTGCCACTGACTGACCCTTAACAGAAGAAATAATCAGAGAACAATTAAATGCTAAACCGGAGTGAAATAGAACATCAGAGAGGAGAGAAGGGGCGGGGGTAGGGAAGGAGAGATGGGGTGGAGGGAGGGCAGAGGAGGCCGGTGGGCTCGGGGCCACACTCGGAAGGTCGGAGAGGCCTTGTGCAGGGCACGTCGCAGGCGCTCGAGGAATGCGAGTTGCCTGAAAGAATGAAGGAAGGAAGGAACGGGGTGCGATCCAGGGCGGCCGCCCGGCCCGGGCAAAGCTGCCGAGGCAGGAAGCAGGGTGGGGGCGCGCCGAGGCTGCAGCGGCCCGAGCGCAGCTGGGGGCAGCGGGAGATCAGTGGGGTCAGCGACTCCACTGGGCGGGGGGGCCCCCAGGCCAGGAGGCTGGGAAACGGCAGGCTGCGCTGCTG